AGACAGAGACAGAGACGTGTGGCTGAGAGACACGGGGGAGGCTGACAATGGCAGACTTTATCTTGACTCAGATTTTGATTTTCCTCTTTTCCTTCCAGACTTGCCTGGCCCTTTTTGTACCTTTCCTATAGTTCCCTGCCAGAAGGTCCCTTTGACATGGGACAAGCTTTTGGGTCTCAGTGGCCCTGCTTTGGCTGGGCATTTACCCACAAGGGGATGGGTAACTTTGGGTGCTTCATTTGGAAACTATATTCTTTTTCTATTGCACACTAATTCCATTAAAGTTCTTTTCTACTGAAGGTATTACACACGAAGAGTATGTTTTGTCTTTATGTGGCACATGGCAGAATCCATTTAGAGTGTGCAAGATTTGGAGGTCCCAGGGTGCCCCTCATTCTGCCTGCTACCAGAAACAGTACCTGGCACAAAGTTTTTTCTTAAGTTATAAATGATCACATTTTTTGAGAGAAAGTCTTCTTCGTAGTTCTGTACCCTCTCCAGCCATAATGACAATTCAGAGAACCGTGGTGATGGCCCCGATACACTGAAGTCATTTCTCAAGCACCTTTAATCTGCAGAATACACTGCAGCACTATATTCTGTCCAGGAAAGTCGAGTTGCATGCAGGGACCATCTCTCTGCTTATTTACAGTAAAGTAGCTCTCAGTTCTCACAGACTATAGAGTGATTAACCTTGTAGAAAATAGCCATAGAAAGTGCCTAGAGCTTCACTTCAAGGGTCCTAATGCAGCAATTGGATAGTCAGTTATTTTTGACTCACATTCTAAGGATTTTGTGAAATAGTCTGCTTTTTTTTTTTCTCAGTGAAGGAGATCTTTTATTATTTGATAAAAAGAAATTTCCAACAAATCTGTTATTTATTTTACAAACACTCATCTAAGGTTTAAGGATCTCAAATGAAATTGAAAGAAGGACATAGGTGAAGCATGGTCCTGATTAGATTTAAATATTTCTAGTAGGCAGGTGAATTCGGCATCTCCATTCGCTGCTTGGCCTGTCCCCAGCTCAGTGCCATGCAGAGGGTGCACAGGGTGAAAGACACTGTGCCACCCACTTCTCAGAGGAGAAGGTACCCTGTCTTGTGCCTCCTTATCCCTGAATGGTTATCATGATTGTTTAGTTTTCTATGTCCTCTGTTTAAGCTCTGTAAGCTCCATGAAGTTGAGCCATGTCAATCCTTGTTCATCATTCTGCTCCCAGACTTAGCACACACCTATCACATATCCCTCCTGTTGGAGGGAAAAGCAGTTCTGGAAAAACTCCACAAATAGGTTTTATGGACCCTCCCCCCACCCCAGACCAAGAGCTCCAAGACACCAAGGACTACAAATCCCGTAATGTCACCATCACCGAAGGGAGGATTGCTGGGTACTGAGGGTGGAGTTTAGCTAACAGGTTTGGTATATGACCAAGCATGTGGGTCTTGGGGGGCCTTGGTTTTTCACCGGGTTTCAGCGTGCTCCTGGAGTCCCAGGTCAGCGGAACTGGTAGGACGCATGCGCCAATTTGTCTCTCCCTCTTTCTCCCTGAGTTATTCATTTCTTCATTTCCCCTTTTTGTGAATAAACCGTTAATTAACCTTTTGTGTATGCCTGCAGTTGAGTCTCATTATAAGTCCCTTTTAAGCATGTGGGTGAGGACCCACAGTCCAGCAATCCATTTCACGTTGGGGTTGCCCTGTAGCACTCCATAAATATGCTCAAAAAATATCAGTAAATGAGTGAATACTTGGTACTATATTCTGGGGAAGGAGACATTGTGCATGGAGAGCCTGAACAAAAGGTTGTACGAATTTGAACTATCCACTAATGACTATAATAGGCTTAAAGGAGTGAGGGACAAAAGAATTATTGGAAGCACATGATCAATTGCCCAAAACCCTCATAGATCTTTCTGAGATCCAGTCTAATGATGCTCATTTGTTTCTTAGATCTAGTCTTGGAAATTCACTCTATTAAAACAAGATCAACCCTCAATTTTGAGAGTAGATGCAAGGTTATAATTTCTCATTCCTCTCCTAAATATTCAGAAAAGTTGGCACTAGTGGCTTTATAATACAACTCTTGAAAGTTTATCCATCCCTAAAATTAAGTATTTCCTTATTTCCATGCACCTGAAGGAAATTTGGAAGACAAGGTAGTTATTGCACCCAAGAGTAATGGATGTCAACTTCACATTCACAGACCCACTGTGTAATCGTGTGACTATATGTGTGCATGCACATTGAGATAGAGAGAATCAGACATGTATACTCTGTACTCTTTATGCAATAACCAGGTATAGCCACAAGAGGAGACATAGGAGAGGCTCAGGTAAACAAAGTCTTTCTACTCATAGGTCTTAGAAACAGAAGGCCTCGCCATGGAGGACCATGTGGGACAGCAGCAGCATCAGTAAGGGGGCAAAAGGGGCTGTACCAAAAGGGAAGGTGAGGTCATGGCCTAATTGGAGTTTTCTGTACAATGGTTAAGTCAGGGCAGAAAACCAGTTTAGTATTGACTAGTTTGGATTTTTTTTTTTTTTATTTTATACAAGAATTGTGTACAGGTCAGAGGCATGGGAGGGTGAGAGGATTCACCAGAGACAGAGCGGGAAGCAGAACAGGCAGACAGACCAAAATACACTGCTGAGGGGAGCAGCCGGCGCCACAGGAGAGGTCTGCCTCGCCTTGTGGGATTCTGCCCCCGCTGGGGGGGGGGGGTGGCCGCATTGCAGAGGCTGCAGATGGCTTTGCAGTGCTGCCCTCAATCCGCTGCTCCAGCAGGGAGGCCCGAGTTTGAATAATTTTAATGGGCTCTGAACTATAGGCATGGCCCCTGTTACCTGATCCCTGGCCCTGGGATAATTAAGAGAGAGGAATAGTGCCTTGGGGGATAGAGGCCAGAAAGAGGAAGAATGACTCTAGGTTGGTTAGTTTGCACATCAAAAATGTGCTTCATTCTGAGTCTTATGCGATCTCTAAAATTTGGCTGCTAAAGGGAGGGGCAGCTTGTCCCTGGTCAGAAAGGGTTTTTTAAGATGTCAAAACCTCAAAATCCAAAAATTAAACATTAAAATAATACAATGTATATGTGCATGGACACACATATTTCAAACTGACACCTATTTTCAAACCGAGATATATGTGTATGTGTCTGTATATCTGTATATGTGTGTGTGTGTGTGTGTGTGTGTGTGTGTTGGGGGGGTGTTTGTGCATGTCAGTTTAAATTTCTGATTCATCTCTTAGTAAATCTAATCATTAATTATTTGAGCACATCGTGGTTTTTTGACTCAGTTGTCTAGTCCAGTTTAATGTGAGTTCTTGGTCAATTCATTCAGATTCCATACAACCACTCTCCTTTCTTGTCTCTCATCACATCTGACCATCTAACCCCACCAGCTCCTGGCCTGCCACTACAAATAAAGGTTAATCCAGGTCTCTTTGACACATTCAGTTAAGTCAGCTCTAATTATTGCCAAGGGAAATTTATGCCAAAAAATGTGTAAGAACATGAATTTCGATATGCACCTTCCCAGTATTTTAATGTTGCTGACTTTTTAAATTAAACATTTTACACACCCCACATAAAAAGGTGCCTACCAACTAACCAGATAGTAATTTCTGTTCTGCACTCCTAACCTCTGCTTTCCTGACTGAGTCTATCTATTAATACCTCAGTAAAAATGCATTTAAATAAATAAATAAATAAATAAATAAATAAAAGCATAGTCATTAGGTGCCTCCCTGGTGGCACAGGGGTTAAGTTGCAGCACTGTGAAGCTATCAGCAGCCACTGCAGCACGAGTTCAATCCCCTGCCAGGGATCTAACCCACATGGTGCAGCAGACCCCTCAGCAGTGTATTTCAGTCAATCTGCCTGTTCTGCACCCCACTCTGTCTCTAGTGAATCCTATCATCTCCCACATCTCTGACCTATACCCCAGCTCTTGTATGCATAAATAAAAGATAAATCTATTTTAAAAAAAGCATAATCATCAGAATGTTTAATAGACTAATAATGGGCTAATTTGGAGTGGCATGGAGGGACAAAAATCAGAATGAAACTCAAGAGTAAGAGTGTTTCTTTAAGAAAAGTTCTGTGTATGCGTGCACGTCGATATTTCTCACTAAGGCGAATGTCAAACAAGTTTAGTTTCATTCAATTTCCTAATCATCCAGGATCTTTTTGTTGTTGTTGTTGTAATATCTTTTTTTAATTTAAATTTTATTTTTATATTCCCCATACAATTACAACCCCCTTATTTTGACCCCAAGCCTCCTTTCACAGTCCCCCACCCCCCATAGAGTGTCTCTGGTTCATAGTTTTTTGTTGATTTTGATATTTTCTTTCTTATAGTCATTCATTTTCCTGGTCCCTTATTTAAGTTTTCTAGATTCCTGCTATGAGTGAGACCATCCGGTATTTTTCTTTTTCTTTCTGGCTTATTTCGCTGAGCATGATCCCTTCTAGCTCCATACATGTTGCTGCAAACTGCATGTGTTTATCTTTTTTGAATGCTGAGTAATATTCCATGGTGTATATGTACCACATCTTCTTGATCCAGTCATCTATTTTTGGGCATTTGGGCTGTTTCCAAAGCTTAGCTATTGTAAACAGTGCTGCTATAAACATAGGGGTGCAGGTGCCCTTTGGAATTGACGTTTCTGTGTCCTCTGGGTAAATACCTAGGAGTGGAATTGCTGGATCATATCCAGGATCTTAAGCGGGTAGGAGACAGCCCAAGGCCCTCTGCTCCTGTTTCTTCATTCCCTTCGGGGTGGCTCAAACAACCAGAACTTGCAACGCCCCGCAGCGCGGCCAGCTCTGGCGCAGTGTGCACGCGGCGCGCAGTCTGACCTCCGCTCCCCCAGGGGGCGCTGCACACAGCCCCTTCCCCGCCGTCAAGACCACGCGCCAGCCGGAAGCGTTTCCGCCGAGCGCACTTCCGCCCTGAGGCCGCGGGGCGCCCTGGGCGCATGTGCGGCTGCGCGGGCTGCGACCGACTTGCGGGGAGCCGGGCCCGGGCGCCGGTGAGGGCGCGTCGCCAGCATCATGTCCCACCTGCCGATGAAGCTGCTGCGCAGGAAGATCGAGAAGCGGAACCTCAAGTTGCGCCAGCGGAACCTGAAGCTGCAGGGTGAGAGGCGCCCGCGGCGGCTCCGCTGGCTGCGGGGACCCCCTTGGGCCGGAGCAGCGGGGCGCAGAGGCGCCCCGAACCCCCTTGTGGCTCCGACACCGCCCCGGGGGAGTGTGCCGCGTCCCACGGGACAGGGCGGCCGGGACAGCCGCCGGCGCGCTCGCCGCGGGGCCCGCACCTGCCGCCGGCTCCCTGAACCCCGGGGTGTCCCACACATGGACGGCGAGCCCCCCCCCCCCACCCCGAGCCCCGTCCTGCTTCTAGCAAACCCGCCTTTTCCACTCACACCTCCGGGTTCTGGCTCCTGCTCACCACCCTCAGGGCCCTCGTCCTCCCCGCTCCCTCCCCCCTGTTCCAGGCAGACACGTGCAACGTCCTCATGATTTTTCATGTCATCTATTAAATGTCTGTATTTCCTTTTAAGATTTGATTTATTTATACAAGAGCTGGGGTATAGGCCAGGAGTGCGGGGGGTGAGAGAGTCACCAGAGACAGAGCAGGGAACAGAACAGGCAGCTCTGCTGAAATACACTGCTGAGGGGAGCAGCTGGGAGACCGGAGAGGTCTGCCAGGCCACGTGGGTACCTCCATGGCCAGCTGAGAATGGAACCCGCGCTGCGTTCAACCCGCTACGCCACCAGGAAGGCCTTAAATGTTTATATTTCTTTTTTTTATTATTTATACAATAACTGGGGTACAGGCCAGAGGTGTGGGGGGTGAGAGGATTCACCGGAGACAGTGGGGAGCAGAACAAGTGGGTTGACTGAGCTACACTGCTGAGGGGAGCAATGGGAGAGTTAGGGGAGGTCTGCTGCACCATGTGGATATCTCCCCGGCCGGCAGGGAATCGAACCCGCACTTCAGAGATTGCAGATAGCTTCACAGCGCTGCACGCAACCCACTGCGCCGCCAGGGAGGCCCAGAATGTCTGTATTTCTTGCAAACAAAAGTGTCATTCTTCATACACCTTTCCGGTACCATTTCCAAGCCTTACCCATCTTCTTTCTTATCTCAACTTCCTTCACCTTCCAATCGGGGTCTTATTGCTCACGAGGAACACACAGTCTCTTATGCCCTATCTTCTCATCACTCCCAACCTCAGGTTACAAATTCTTGAGATTGTCTCCTTATTTGTCTCCTTCACAAAGATTTACATGGAAAGGATTTTATACGAATGAAAGATTTTTATTGCCTACCTATTTGCTGTCCTAATTTCTTGACAGTGGGTGGAGATCTGGAAGGTTTTATGTTTCCTTTTGGGGTCTTGTATAGAATATACCTAATTAGAGCAACGTTGGGGGCATCTTGCTTTACCCCAGTTGGTTTTCAACAGAAGTTGAAAGAAATCCCTGAAAGAGATAGCAGAATTGTAGGCTTTACGAATGTTACTGAAATTCCTTTATATTACCCCTTCCTATGAACAAAATACAGCATTACTACTTCTTGATAGAGGCATAGCTAACAATTTGAGTAAATTGCAATATTTTCCTATAGTAAACAGGGAAGCTTTTTGTAAAGACAGTCTAAGGCACTTATATGATAAATATTGGGGGTGAATAGTGGTTTCATCAATAAAATTTGTGATTCAGTGCCATTTAGAAAAATTGAGTTTTGAGTGTTTTGAAGTTGAGAAACTTTGCTTGTGTAAGATGTAAATCTGTTTCACTATACCAACTAGTTTTGTGTTCATCAAATACCTAATATTAAAGTGTGTATTTTGTAAACACCATTGTCTGACCCTGTTAATTATTTAACCTCATTGAAGTTATTCTGTCATGGACTTTTAAATCCTTAAGGTCAGAGAAGTGGTGTTTTGAAGTTAAAAATCTTTGCAGCTTTCCTTTTCCAGCATTTTTCCTTTAAGGATTTTTCTTTTTCTGTAATAAAATTGAAAGTGTAATAATGCACATGAAAGGGAAACCACATAATTTCAGCCCTGAAATCCACGGACTTTTTTACTTGGTAAAAAAGTGAACCTTTCTAAGTAAACCTCCCCTTTATTATAATGCGCTTTTTTTTTTTTTAAGGGGCTTCATTGGCGAGTCTGTCAGAAAGTCAAAATGGAAATGTGTCTGAAGAAACCGTCGGCGGTGAAAAAGTCAAAAAATCCTTAAAACAGTCTATGAATGTGGACTTGCCAGGAGCCCAAAATGGAGATGTGTCTAACGAGACAGTGAAAAAAGTAAAAGTTAAAAAATCCCTCAAACAATCTATGAAAGTGGGCTTGTCAGAAACCCAAAATGGAGATGTGTCTAAAGAGACAATGAAAAATGTAAAAGTTAAAAAATCCCTCAAACGATCTCCAAAAATGGGTTTGTCAGAAACCCAAAATGGGGATGTAGCTAAAGAAGCTGTAGAAAATGTGAAAGTTAAATCCCCTAAGAAATCTACCGTGTTAACCAATGGTGAAGCACCAACACAAACTCCTAATCCAGAATCAAAGAAGAAGAGAAAGAAGAAGAAAAAGAGAAAGATAGTGGATGATGCTGGACCTGGTAGGTGCTTTGTTTTCTCTGAACTTCAACCATTCAAGCAGTTTCTCACAGTTGCCATCACACCTTCCTTTCATTAGTGTGTCCCACAATGTGCAGGAATCTCCTGGATGTGTAAGTAGAGCAGAAACTATCCTCTTAGCTAAAGGGAACGCTGGGGGGATATTAACTTCAGTATATTGAGCAGCATGTCCTGCATCTTAACCTCTTGCGCCACCAGGGAGCCCCCCCGATCATTTTTCAATGGCATAATATATTAAGCCTAGAAGGTGAAGTTTTGTTGGCAAATCTGCATTCTGCATCATTCCCCTCGTTTTTAAAGTTAACCAGATCTTTAATCATGAAAAAAAATCCTTAGTAAATTAAAAGTGAATAATGTATTAAGCTTTTGAAAATACACCTCGTTGCATCACACATCTTTTATTTTGTGATATATATGATACTGTTAATTTTAAGAAAAAAAAATATTTTTTAATCTTTAAAACCAAAGATACCAAAAAAGCAAAAATTGAAGACAAAGGTGAATCTGAAGAAGATGCCCAGGAGGCTCCTGAAGAAGCAGAAGACAGTGTGGAGAAGCCAGGTGACGAGGAAGAGGACAGTGAGGTGCCCAGTCTACCTCTGGGACTGACAGGTAACCTACAGGAAGTTTTTCAACTAGATCTTTAAAATGTGTGCCCTTCTGGAATATAAGATTTGATGATTCAATTGTTACTTTTCACTTACCTGGAGAAAATAAGTGTGTTTATGTATCTTTCCCCTGCTTTTTATCTTGTACTTTGTGTCCCTTAGTTCTTGTTTCTCCTCTAATTTCTTTCTCCATTCCTAATCCTGAATATTTTGATCTGTACACAGCTTCTAGGACCCTTTGTTCCTTTGATTTGTGATTTTCTGAAGCTTGTTCCACTTTGTAGCAAGGAAGTCATTGGACTAAAAGTCTGGAGTTGAGTTTGATGCTGGCTTATTTACTACTAAGAAAAGTGTGATAAAATTAACATTGTGGGGAGGGACATGTGCTGAGATGACCTCCTTTGGTGTTTTATCTTTATCTGTAAAATCAAGTGTCTAGACGAGAGACCTCTCCCATCTCACCCCATGCTCCCATGCATAGTAGTTATTGAGTTGTTTGGTTTGGGTGGTTGTTAAAATACTGAGGCCCAACCCCAGGCCTACTTTATTAAAATTGCATAGTTATGGCAGTGCTTCTAGCAGGGAAGTTTTGCCTCCCAGGTAAGGTGGCCGGCTCATGCCAGTTTGCCAAGAATTTGCTAGTTTTAGTGTTGAAAGTCCTGGGAGCCATGTACCTCCTCTGTCCCTGGCAAATCAGTGAGGGTTGGCCACCAACATTTTTGGTTGCCAGAACTGAAGGCTGGCTACTGGCATCTAGGGTATAGTTCAGGAGTACCACAGGGCATACTGTAATGCATAAGGACCACCTCTCACAAAGAATTGTCTAACCCAAAACATCTTTAGTGTCAGTGTTAACAATACTTGGGTTACTACCAGGATGTGTGGGGGTGGGGAGATCCTGGGGTAGTTTTGATGCCCTTGATGCCCTTTCCCTGTAAAGAACCACTGCCCCGTTGATAAGTTTTATAGTCTCTATCTGACTCTCTGACTCTTACCAATTAATCTTTGGGAAATGAGATTAGCTATTCTTTTTTTTTTTTTTTTTTTAGATTTATTTGTTTATACAAGAACTAGGGTACAGGTCAGAGGCGCGGGAGGGTGAGAGGATTCACCAGAGAGAGCTGGGAGCAGAACTGGCAGACAGACTGTAATACACTGCTGAGGGGAGCAGCAAGCGAGGCAGGAGGTCTGCCACACCATGTGGGTTTCTCCTTGGCAGGCCAAGAATCGAACCCGCGCCACAGAGGCTGTGGACAGCTTCACAGCGCTGCGCTCAATCTGCTGCGCAACCAGGGAGGCCCTTAGCTATTCTTTTAATAAACTTCATACTCAGAAGACAACGGGTACCCATCCCTTGTTATTTTGTGACAGTATAGACACTAGACTATATAAACAGCCATCAGCAGTGAAGAAACTTCAAAGGTTTAAGTTGTTCTCTTAATATTATATAGTAATGGTTGTGGTTTAGTCTCTTCTCACTGGAAGATGTGCGTCCAAGCTTGATTCCAACCCAGAAGTGCAATCAGCAAAAGTAATTTAGATAGATGACTATTAACAATCAAAAGATAAATTTGTTAATGATAAATTGTCTTCTCTTTAGGAGCTTTTGAGGATACTTCGTTTGCTTCTCTAGCTAATCTTGTCAATGAGAACACTCTGAGGGCAATAAAAGAAATGGGCTTTACAAACATGACTGAAATTCAACATAAAAGTATCAGACCACTTCTGGAAGGCAGGTATGATTAACAGTGATGTTTAAGCATTAGTGTTTCAATCCGTAGTGCTACATTAAAAGAATTAAAACATTGTTGATTTTACACTGTGTTGGATTACCTGCATTAAAGGCTTAAGTTACTGATATTTGGAGAAAGCTTACTTCTGATTTATAGCACTGTTCTTACTTCTGGGTTATTTCCGACCCAGAAGTGATAGATTCCGACCCAGGTGATAGATTTCAGTGATGAGAAGGTAGGGACCTTGTCCTTCTTTTTCATGTTCCATCTTTAGTGCCTAAAACATGTGGTAGTACATGAAAAGTATTTCCTAAATAAGTACTGAATTAGTAGATCGAATGTCTTCTTTCTCTTTTTGATATTTAGGGATCTTCTAGCAGCTGCAAAAACAGGTAGTGGCAAAACCCTTGCCTTTCTCATCCCTGCAGTGGAACTCATTGTTAAATTGAAGTTCATGCCCCGGAATGGTAAGCCTTTGATCTGATTATTTTTTTTTTTTTTTTTAAATATTTATTTATTTATTTATACAAGCACTGGGTACAGTCAGAAGTGCGGGAGGGTGAGAGAATTCACCAGAGCCAGAGCGGGGAGCAGAGCAGGCAGAAGGACCGAAGTACACTGCTGAGGGGAGCAGCGGGCGGCAGGAGAGGTCTGCGCGCCATGTGGGACCCTCCTCCGGTGGCCGGGGAGCAGCCAGGGATCGAACCGGCGCTGCAGAGGCTGCGGGCAGCTTGGCAACCCAGCGCTCAACCGCTGCACCACCGGGAGGCCCTGATCTGATTATTTCAGCCATCATTTCACTAGAAGTTGAATGTAACTGCTGTGGACTTGTGGTAACTCAATTAGATTTTTTACAAACATATTTCATTTTTTGTGGTTTAGGAACAGGAGTCCTTATCCTCTCACCTACTAGGGAACTGGCCATGCAAACTTTTGGTGTTCTTAAGGAGCTGATGACTCACCATGTTCACACGTATGGGTTAATAATGGGTGGCAGCAATAGATCTGCAGAAGCACAGAAGCTTGCTAATGGGATCAACATCATCGTGGCCACACCGGGTCGTCTCCTGGACCATATGCAAGTAAGGGAACTCTCTTAGGTAGTACTGGACCTGTCTCATTGTCTCAAGTGAAATATAAACCTGACAGCTAATAGTTGTCTTTGTCCTCTGTCTTATTAGAATACCCCAGGGTTTATGTATAAAAACCTCCAGTGTCTGGTTATTGATGAAGCTGATCGGATCTTGGATGTTGGATTTGAAGAGGAATTAAAGCAAATTATTAAACTTCTGCCAAGTAAGTAGGTGGCATGGCATGTGGTTTGTAAAAACTTAGGAGTAGGTGAGATATGTGCCTATGCAAATACTAGATATTTATAGCGTAGGCAAGTGAAGTAATTGTTCCATTTAACCTAAAAGGTAGTTTGCAATATAAATCCAGCATCCTTAAATACTGTGCTTTTACTATTTTAGAGTTCAGCCTTCCTGACATATCTCATTAACTCCCCACTTTCTCCCTCCTGTCTCACATTATCTTAGCTCATGTTGCATCTCCCAGGTAGCAATAGACTTGTTGCCTGCTGTGTTTTATTTGAATTGTGCATACCGTGGTTATAATTACATTAAAAACTGTTTATGTCTGTAATAAGTCCATGACTCCATTCATTGTGATTTTTTTTAATGCTCTCTTGGCATACAATTCACTAATGGTCTTGAACACATTTTAAATGTACAGTTTGGTGTGTTTTGACATGTTTAGTCTGAAAACATCAGTCAATACAGTGAACGTCTCCATAACCCTCAAAAATTTCTTTGTGTGCCTTTGTATTCCGTCATCCCTTTGTATTCCTTTCATTCCATCTCTCAGTCACACCTCTCTCCCAAGGGACTGTCAGTCAGCTAGCTGTCACTGTAGATCAGTTGTATTTTCTCGAGATTTATGTGAAAGGAATCATACTGTATTGCTCTTTTTGTCTGATTCTTTTGCTCTGCAAATTTTTTAGTGATCCATCATCTATCCTACCGCATGTATCAGTACTTACTCGGTTTGTGAAATACCCCATCTTGTTTATTCATTCAACTGTTGATTGCTGATTGTGGTATTTAAAGGTTTAGGCTATTACAAGTAAAGTTGCTGTGAACATTCATATATAGCACTTTTTCTGAGCATATATTTTGTCTTGAGTAGCTAGGAATGGAGTGACTGGTGTATGTTTAATTCATATCATTTTGTAATCCCTTCAGCAGTGTGCAAGAGTGCCACTTACTCAGTTATTTTGACTGTTCTTGCCCTTTGCATGTCTATATCAATTTTCAAATCAGTTTGTCAGTTCCCATCCCCTAAACAAATCATCTGAGATATTGATTAGGAGTGTATTGAATAAAGATGATTGGTACAAGACAATATTGAATCACTTGATCTGTGAATAAGGTGTATCTCCATTTATTAGCTCTTGAGTTCATCTTAACAATGTTTTAGAGTTTTCATTGTACTAGTTTTTACACATCCTTTGTCAGAATCATCCCTAATGTTTCATTAATTTTTTTATTTCAAATCATTATTTGTGCATGTGGATACAGTTGATTTTTGTATATTGATTCTGTATGTGGCAAAGTAATGATTACTCAACTAGATTGTTCAATATGACCTTTCAGATTATCTTAGCCATTGGATTTGCTAAATAGGCAGTCATGTCATTTACAAATTAAAAAGTAAATAAAATGTTTTACTTAATCTACTGCTTGCACTCACCAGGACTGCTAATATAATACTAACTAGAAGTGGCAAGAGAGGCCATCTGTGCCTTATTCTTCACCTTAATGGAGGAAAACATTCAGTCTTTTATCATGAAATATGGTATCAGCTATAATTTTTTTTTTGCAGTTACCCGTTAGTCAGAAATAGTTGTGTAATTTTGTCCAGTGCATTTTGAAATGTCCTGTGGAGTTTGTGAAGAATTGGTGATATTTCTTCCTAAATGTGTGCTAGAATTCCCCATTGGAGGCCATTGGAGTAGCATTTTCTTTGCATGATTATTTTAAATATATTTTCTTTAATATATGTAAGACTGTTCTGGTTTTCTATTTCTTCTTGAGTAAACTTTAGCAATTTGTCTTTCAAGGAAATTGTCCACTTATCTAAGTTGTCAAATTTATGGACACGATCATGATTATTTACCCTTAGCCTTTTAATACCTCTAGCAATAGCGCCTCTCCCATTCTTGCTAGTTCTCCTTGGGGCACATGTATTTGTGAAGCAATTATAAAGAATCCCTGAAAGATTATTTTTATGTGTATCTGCTTTTAGCACGTAGACAGACCATGCTCTTTTCTGCAACGCAAACTCGGAAAGTTGAAGATCTGGCGCGGATTTCTCTGAAAAAGGAGCCATTGTATGTTGGTGTTGATGATGATAAAGCTAATGCAACAGTGGATGGTCTTGAGCAGGTACTTTTTTTTGTCAATATCTTAAATTTTAAGTATCTCTTTTGATATTTCCTTACAGTTTTTTAGGATTTCTTCAGCAGATCATCCAGAAAGAAGATGGGTTAATGAACTTTTAATTCAAATATACTAAACTTGGGTTTTGAGTCTCTGACTGCTCATGTTTTATCTCTTGAACTCTGAGAAATTGAATCAGCTGTCTTTACTCTTTATCTTAACAATTTGCCACCTGGGAGGCATTATTAATCACTGCTAGATGCAGCCAACAACAGAAATCTCTTGCTATAAGATCGGTGAGATAGAAGATAGACTGGTTTCAGGTATGTAGCTATGGAAGATTGGAAATGAGGTGACAAAGATCCAGAGTAGGTAGATCGTACATAAGACTTTACGGTTGAGTCTTTTTTTTTTGATTTTAAAAAAAGTTGCTCAACCTTGTTAACTTGTTTAGGATAGTGCACGTAAGCTGTGATTACTGAGATCTTCCAGTTAGAAAACTTAAATGAGTCACTGATATGCTTTGGAGGTCCCAAATAATAGATATGTTAATAAATTATGGTTATAAGAATTTTTGATAATGAATAATCTCAGAAGTATGTAAAGTATTAAGTATTCATTTATTGCAGCCAGTAAAAGTAATCAAAAGCTAAAATTGGCATTGTTTTAGGAATGCTCTGTTATAATGAAAACAGTAATTATGCTGTATGTAGTTTATGCTCAATATCATACTATATTGGTTCATAAAGCTGAAGTGTCTATCATTTTGTCTCTCTTTACCTGAACCACTTCTAGGGATATGTTGTTTGTCCTTCCGAAAAGAGATTCCTTCTACTCTTCACTTTCCTTAAGAAGAATCGAAAGAAGAAATTAATGGTCTTCTTTTCATCCTGTAAATCTGTGAAATACCACTATGAGCTGCTGAACTACATCGATTTGCCTGTTTTGGCCATTCATGTACGTGATTATGAGTTTATTAAAAATAGGTTATGCTGAGCGAGTTGTATAGGTGGTGCAGTTTGAGGTGTTACTTTGCTAATCATAACTCTAAGTAGTTTGACCAGCATTGGGTGATAGATCCTCTGTGGAGGGACCTTTGCTTGGCCTGGAGGGATGAGGACTACAACGCAGTAAGGGATGTCTTCCACTTAATAGGACATAAGCCAAAGAGTAAACCTGAAATAAATCAGGTTAGCAGCTCCACGGTTTGAGTTTCTTCATCTGGGCACCGCAGAGACAGCTTCAAGGTTCCCACTCTAATGGATATTTTATTTGATTCTAGGGGAAGCAGAAGCAAAACAAGCGAACAACCACGTTCTTCCAGTTCTGCAATGCGGATTCAGGGATACTCCTGTGTACAGATGTAGCAGCTAGAGGGCTGGATATTCCTGAAGTTGACTGGATTGTTCAGTATGACCCTCCTGATGACCCCAAGGTAACTGGCCTCTTTGTGGTTTCTCCTGAATGGCTCTACCTTAAGGACCTCACTGACTCCCAGGCACATTTCACAGTCAAAGGTGTGTCCCTTAGTGACTGGCACCACGTTTTCCTGTACAGTGACTGCAGTATTTTTCTGGTGCTGATCGCACTTGGGATTTTGGTGGGACCTAAAGGGCATGTGCAGAGAGATTTTTGAGAGGCCACAAGGGAACGTGAGTTTAGGAGTGTATGTCCTAGAACCATCTCTTAAAAACAATAGGTGTCAAAAGGAAATAAAATTTGCTTACAAAGCTCTATAAGTGTCTGTAGTATATGTAGTGGAACAAGCTTTAAGTGTTTTAAACAATTAATAGATTATATGAGTTGTCAGCCCAGCATTTAAATGTGTTTGAGAAAGCCATTTTGAAGATGTAGCTCTCTTAATAGGTCATTTTATTAGAGTTTCTGTGGATGTCATGTCCTGTCTTCCTTTAACCTCGGTCATTTTCCTCTTAGACCTCTTTGGGGGTGGTGCCTGCAGACAGAAATGGTGACTGACTTTGGACAATGGTGGTAGCTGTGTGGCACAGCCTTGAGGTTGGGCTGCCATTTCATACAGATGTGCAGACACACTTCTATCCACTATGAGCAAGCTCTGGAAATGCAGACATCTTAACAAGTTCCCGTGTTAACTCATTTTCTTTTCCCAACAAAGGAATATATACATCGTGTGGGAAGAACAGCAAGAGGCCTAAACGGAAGGGGACATGCTTTGCTCATTCTGCGCCCAGAAGAATTGGGTTTCCTTCGTTACTTGAAGCAATCCAAGGTAAGAGCTTTGCTTGGTAAGTCCTAAGTTGGGAATACACTTGATACTCTTGATAGGAGTTACTTGCCAGTGTGATGTCCCGAAGCACGGTGTCCAGCTGCATCTTAGGAGTCGTGAGTGTAGTACAGTTAGAGAAGTGGTAGCAGCAGCGGAGCAGATAAGGCCAATGTGGGTCTGGCCCAGGAAGGGAACAGAGGAACTGCCCAGCCCTGTGTGAACCCTTCCTCGCTCCTTTCATGCTCCCTCACATCTGCTCACTCTGCTTCTGCTCCCCTCCTCCAGTCTTCTCTGCCTCTTTTTTTTTTTTAAGATTTATTTATTTATGAATATAAGAACTGGGGTATGGAGGGGGGGGGCAGTGAGAGGATTCACCAGAGACAGAGTGGGGAACAGAACACGCAGACTGACTGAAATACACTGCTGAGGGGAGCAACGGGAGAGGTCTGCTGCACCATGTGGTTATCTCCCTGGCCAGGGATCGAACTCGTGCTGCAGTGGCTGTGGATAGCTTCATAGTTTGCATCTTAACCCGTTGCACCACCAAGGAGGCCCTTCTCTGCCTCTTCATCCCACCGTCTCTCCCTCTCACCTCACCTGGAGCAGTGGGCAATCCATCTCCTCCCCTTCTCTGCCTCCTTGTATCCCTTATTCATCAACACTGTTTTGCCTTCAGTCTCTCCCCTACAGTTAGCACTTTCATCATCCATGTCTCTCACTAAAGTAAAAGGAACTTCAACCCTAAATCTGTTCTCCTGCCACTCTCTCTAGCATGGCGACTCACTGCAGGTTACCATTCTTCAGTCTATCGTTTTCTGGAAAACTGGTTTATAGTTTCTCCATTTCCTTTCTGATCACCCTCCAATCTACCCACATCTGCCTTTGACCTCACCCTATCCCACCAAAAATTGTATCATTAGAATCCTGTGTTCCCTTTGTTGCTTGGGAGTGTGGGTAGACAGCCAGAGGCCTAAACGGAATGGGAAATGCTTTGCTCTTGGGAGATCTTGGGAGTGCTCGTCAGGCTTTCTCCTTGGTGTTTTCTTCCTCCCTGGCCTCGCCAGGTGCAAGATGGCAAATAGGTGCAGTACCAGAGTCCTCGGCCTTTGCGCTGTCCTCTGGTGCATAGGGTTTCAGCTAGCTGCTGTCTTCTGGGAGCTCCCTCCGTATTCCCACAGCACAAATGTTCCTCAGGTTGTCCTCTCTCCCACAAGACTACAAGCTCTCTGAGAGCAGGATCTGTGACTTGGGCAGCCATTTTCTCTCCAACTTCTGGTACATGTCTGGCACTTTTCCACTGATCTAATAACTGATAAGAAATGCTTCTTGGAGGAGGAGTCTGTCATTGTGACCTCTGGTGTCACAAACCCCGGTCACAGGCAGTGTGGTTCAGGCAATACTCCTGAGCGTCGGGCTGCTTGTTGTGTGTAGAGAGCCTTACTTAGAAAAGTTTCATTGGGCCTCCCTGGTGGCACAAGGGATTAAGATGCAACCTATGGGGCCTCCCCAGTGGCGCAGCGGTTGAGCGCTGGGTTGCGAAGCTACCCGCAGACTCAGCAGCACCGGTTCAATCCCCGGCTGCTCCCCGGCCACCGGAGGAGGGTCCCACATGGCACGCAGACCTCTCCTGCCGCCCGCTGCTCCCCTCAGCAGTGTACTTCGGTCCTTCTGCCTGCTCTGCTCCCCACTCTGGCTCTGGTGAATTCTCTCACCCTCCTGCGCTTCTCACTGTACCCAGTGCTTGTATAAATAAACAAATACATAAATACATACATACATACATACATACATACATACATCTTTTAAAAAAAAAAAAAAAGATGCAACCTATGAAGCAATCCGCAGCCACTGCAGCACAAGTTTGATCCCCAGCCAGGGAGAAACCCACATAGTTAAGCAGACCTCTCCTGTCTTGCCCGCTGCTCCCCTCAGCAGTGTATTTCAGTCAGTCTGCCTGTTCCGTTCCCAACTCTGTCTCTGGTGAATCCTCTCACCCCACCCCCCGCACTTCTGGCCTGTACCCCAGTTCTTGTATGCATAAATAAATAAATCTTTAAAAAAAAAAAAGTTTCATTGACTCATTGTCCCTGTCTAGCTCCTCACCTTTCTTTTGGGAAAGTTCCATAGTACAATTGCGTGACATTAACAGAGGGAAGCTAAGACTGTCCCTTTGGCATTAGGAGACAGGGAGTGGATATCTGTCCCACAGGAATCGCAGGGACCTGCTTATCCTCATCTCTTCCACACCCGATGAGCTGTCTTGGACCCCTCCCTGGCCGGTCCTTCACCTGTCAGCCGTTTGTGGACACGTGTCACTTTTTTCATTCATCTAAAAGTGTGAATACTGATTCATCCTGGTTTACTTCTCTTCATGCTTTTGTTTTCTAGGTTCCATTAAGTGAATTTGAGTTTTCCTGGTCCAAAATTTCTAACATTCAGTCTCAGGTATGCTTTCTGTAAACATTTGAGAAGTGAGAGGTAGCCCAACTTCTTTATCCTCCAGGTCTCCTTTTACACAGAGACCCTTGGACTGTTTCTTAGTCGCTGGTTACCATATTCTGTGCTCACCTTCAGTCCGTGCCTCACCAGAACTTTGATGTTCTTCCTGCAACCTGATTTTGCAAATATTACAAAGCTTGGAGGAAGTATATAGGAACAGATATAATTACAGAATGGTTTTGGGTGGTTTTTTATATATATATCTGATGTATGTATGTATACATACGTGTGTGTGGCCTGCTTTATTTATTTTACTAAAACCAGTGTTCCTTTCCATTTCAGCTTGAAAAACTGATTGAAAAGAACTACTTCCTTCATAAGTCAGCCCAGGAAGCATATAAGTCATACATTCGAGCATATGATTCTCATTCCCTGAAACAGATCTTTAACGTTAATAACTTAAATTTGCCTCAAGTTGCTCTGTCGTTCGGTTTCAAGGTGCCTCCTTTTGTTGATTTGAGTATCCTTTTCATCGTTGTTCTGAATTCATCTGGGGACTAATGGTCAGACGCTTTAATGGAGGCAGATGGGAGCTTACTCTTGGTTTGGCATGTGCTCTGACTGAGGCCTGGAGGCCGAGCTGTTCTGTCCCAGTCACTGCCCACCAGTGCCTGCATGGGGTCATCAGAGAGTAGTTACAGGATTGGGGATTACAGAAAACAAGACTTGTTTCTGACTTGGGCCTTAAAACAGAAGAAAATTTTGACTGGCAGATGGTGCCCAAGGGGGAGAAGCACAGAGGGTGACATTGCAGGGATTATGTGGTGCTGAGGCTTCACTGTGCAAGGTACTTGGAAGAGCAGGATGCCCTGAAGCTGAAGAAACATCCTTTGCAAGGATGTTTGTCCTCTCAGCCATTGAAGGATTTCACACAGGGAAGCTGCAAGATCAACAAAAGAAAATAAAATTTAAGTGCTACTCAAGATGGAAGGGGAAGGATTGGGAATATCTCTAGTTGCTTCTGTTGGAATTTGTGTGTCTGCTTTGTTAGCACATTTCAACAGAAGAAAATGAATCCGGTAAAGTGAGGCCTGGTATTACGGCTATGACGGTGACACCCATGGGACCAAATTTTGAGTCACCATCCTCATGGTTGGCACTGAGTGAATGTCTTTTGCATTGAATATAGGTTTAGCCACATAAAGGAAAAAACAACTTCATTTGGGTAAATATTTCTGAAAGCATTCTGAACAGGGGTGAAAATCATTTATTTTGACACAGGTGTTTTTAACATGGTCTATAAACTTGCTAATTTACCTCTTAACTCCTTATGAGTAATTGCAATTTGTGTGGAAAAAATAATGTAATCATAAGCTGGGTTTATTCAGTACCTGCTGATTTTATTCTAAGGTCATGACAACTTCTAATTTTCTGGAATGAGATTGCCTGGCTTAGGTTCACAGGCTTATGCCATTGAGGGACAGCATTGTGCCCGGTTTGAGCTCTTAGTAGACTTGAGTTATTCTTGTGTCGCTTGATTTCCTTAACATTCACCTTCAGACGTCAACACCAATGAAGGCAAGCAGAGAAAGAGAGGAGGTGGTGGTGGATTTGGCTACCAGAAAGCCAAGAAAATTGAGAAGTCCAAGATCTTCAAGCACATAAGCAAGAAATCATCTGACAGCAGGCAGTTCTCTCATTGAAGACACACCCTCCTTTCGTCTTGAATAGCTTTGTTTTAAAATGGGTTTTTCTTCCTTGTTCTAACAAAGAAATTTTTGTACTGTTAGGATTTGGACCAATCAAATAAGAGTATAAATTGACTTAGGTTGCAAGCACTAAGCACAGTTATTTCCAGCAAGTCTTTTGTTTTGGGATATACAAAAAGAGTTGTTTTCCTTGATTGCCCAAGAGCAAAGCAGGGGGATCTGTTTGTCTTTGTTGTGATAATAGAATTTTTTTTTTTTTTAAGTTCAAATGTTCTCCAAAAACTCGTCATTGTTTTAATGAATTATTTTTATACCTTTCCTCCCTGGTGTCTGAAGACATCTGCAGCACCCACGGTGACCAGCCTGCTATAAGGCAGGTGCCCGCACATTGCCAGGTGGTGGTGGTGGTAATGAGGAAATTCTCCCCATTTATTCTTTAGTTTTGGTTGATTCTTGGACCTTTACAGTAGTTTTCTCCCCTCCTGAAAATGCTGCAGTATAAAAGGGTAAGAGCTTTGGGAAATCACTGAGACATGCCTTAGGTAAAAGGTGGCGTTGATTTTGTATACACCAGATTTTAGAACAGTGCATCTGTCTCAGTCTTTTTTTTTTTTTTTTTTTCTTTAAGGTACAAGAAATGTGGGTTTTCATTACTTGTGTAAAGTACCCTTAACAGTCCTAATGTTTGGGATGAGGGCTACAAATCTGAGGCTCTTGAGCCTCATTTACACCAGTGGGGATATAATCTGCTGTGTTCCGTTTGGTAACTGTCAAAGTCCATTTTTTAAAAATTTGACCAAATTCATTCAAATTTGTTGATTTCAGGTGGTTTGGATTTGGGCAAGTCTTTCCAACTCTGCGTAGTATTTAGAAGGCAAAGCCAGTCCATCGTACAGTACGCTGTGCATGTTAATATTGGCATCTTTTTGAGAAAAAAAAATGCCTCTTCCAGATCCATAAAACAAAAATAGATTTATGGTAAAAATTGAAAATGCACAGAGGTCAGAAAGTAGCAAAGAATGGTTTAAGCAGATAGGTTTGCTGGAGCTCTGAATCCCTAGTGTGTTTTATGTTGTATTTCTAGTGTGTTTTATAACTGCAAATGGTTATTATATTTTGTAGTGATTCAGAACCAAAGTTGCTGGCATCATTCTGTTGTGCTAGTTGATATTAAATTATAAGTACAGTGAGAACATCAGATTAGAGCTTTCCGGTAGGAAATAATGTGAACAATATTCCACTCCTGGGCTTGACTGTCACCTCGCTGGACCTGACCTGGGTTTCACACCTTGCTTCCTGGGCTCCTGGCTTTGTTATGATTGTTTCCTGTCCACTAACTTGGGAAGTGGGGGCGGGGGAGGGGGTCATTTGCTTCAGAAATAATCATGTTTCTAAAAATAAGCAAAGCCAGGGAAGAATAATCACTGAACAAAAGTGAATGTTGATGTTTTGCTATATAACCTGGTGTTTTGTATGCTTTTAATTTTTTATCAGAAGTGAAGTCACCCTCACCGTTATTTGTAATCAGCTTGTTTCATAACATCATTTTTCAATGTCATTAAATAATTACATCAGTTTTGCGTTTCATTTATTGAAAAGCTTTGTTAACCCTTGCTTGGTCTGCTAGATGGTTCTAGATAACTGCTTGTCCCAGATTGCTCTTGTCTCAGCAAGTCTTGACACCATTGTTGACCTGCAGTGATTTTTGAATAGGTTGTCTACAGAGATTTTGTGAGAAGTAAATAAAGAGGTGCAAAGTTTGTTCCTACTGGAAGATCCCTGGCCAGGGAGGTACCCACATGGCACAGCAGGCCTCTCCTTTCTTGCCCACTGCTACCCTCAGCAGTGGACTTCAGTGGATCCACCTGTTCTGCTCCACACTCTGTCTCTGGTGAAGCCTCTCACCGCCCCGCCCCCCACCTCTGGCCTAGACCCCAGCTTTTTAATGCATAAATAAACAAAAAGATACCTGCCGCAGGCCTAAATCAGTTACTAATAAAACCAAAGAACAGAAATAAGTAGCAGCCTCCTCCCCATCCAGCTTCCAGAGATGGTTCCAGCTGTGGCTTCCAGACTGCAGCTGTATAAACCAGATTGTAGCCATAACTGGCTGTGGTCCTGTCCAGTACCCCCTGCACCTGTTTCTGCCGCTATTCCAAGTCAGGTTCTCCAGCCGCCTGCATCATTTCAATTCATCTCTTCCATTGAGATCAGTTAGAGAGTCAGTTTGTTGCTCATAATTAAGAAACTAGATAGAAACCTCAGACCCCCTAACATTCAGTGCCTCAGCTTTTGTTTCTATGTCTCCCACTTGGATAAAATGCGCAGGCTCTTCCCAACTTTTCTGCCGTCACCAGCAGCCTCGTTGCTCTGCTCACAGGGAAGATGGTTGAGCTGGAGCCAAGCCTGGATGGAAATGTAAGGGCAGGGATGTGTCGGAGGAGGAGCAGGTGGCAAGCTCACCACCTCCAGGGAGGCATCATGGAGAGGCTGTTCTGGGTCTGGAGGCTTTGGGGGCAGCAAGAAGTGGCAACTTCAGCATGATGCAGAGCCTGGTGGGGGTTGCACTGGGGATTCACACTCCTGGAGGGCAGGACTGACAGTCACCCCGTGTTCCAGGGCAGCAGTTTCCAGAGCCAGGCAGGATTTGATGTGAAGCCCAACTCCACCATTTACTAGGAGGCTTCGAACAAGTGCCTCAGCCTCTCTCCGCCTCAGTCTCCTCTATAGAAACGGGGCCGGGGTGGGGGTCGGGGGTGGGGGAGTAATGCTATCCATTAAGAGGACAGCGTGTTAAGTGTTTAACGCAGAATTGGGCAGTCAGCTCTCAGAAATGTTAACTGAGTGGTACTACTTGGGTCGGATGGTCGGAAACAAGAAAAAGGATGTTTTCTAGAACTTAACTGCCTCCTCACATCTTCCAAAAGTCAGGGTTTCAGAAACTCGTGGACAGGAAACTGGGGAAGTCGCCCTCTATGTTTGTAATTCCCAACCTCCCCGGCAGGGGGCGCATAACCAGGGCCGCAGAGGAAGACCGCGCGGACCTGCGGTTTCTCGCAGCTCTGCCGAGGCTCCCTGGGGGGGATGAGGAGCCTTTGCTCCAGAGCAGGGCAATGAGGAAGAAAGAGCGTGGAGTTAGGGAAGAGTGGTCACAAACACCTGCCAGGCTCCCGCAGCCCTGGAAGACAGGGATTAGCCTTACATTGCAGAGATGAGGGATGCTCAGAAGAGAGGAGGTATTAGCTGGACAGTAAATGCCTTGGCCAGGAGACAGCGCTGGAGCTGCTCAGCCCAAGGCCAGTGCACTCCCAGCGGCTCTCCCGCCCCTTCCATCTTTCCCGCTCCACTTGCCCCTTTTCCTGCCTTCAGTTTCCCTCTGATTTGAGATGTTGTGACCCTGCCCTCCTCCAGGCAGGACGCTGACTGCTGCGGGGCTGGGAGATTCAGAGACCAAAGAGTGTGCTGCGGGCAAAGACGGGGCAGCGGAAGGAAGGGAGGGCCTTTAGCCCTGAGCACTCCCTGCACCTCATTAGCTCCCTTCCCTCATCTCACTAATGGGAAATAATTCTGGCCTTGCAGGATTATTGTGAGAATGAAATAAGTCAACACAATCAAAGCAGCTGTTGCAGAGCAAGGGCTAAACAAGCATTAGCCCCTTCGTCACCCACTAGGAAAATTCAGTCTTATATTGTCTTTTGATGATTGCATGTAGCTAAGCTTTATTGGCCAATTGATCAAAATAGATACAAGCATTTTCAAAGTCTCCAATTTAATTCCCTTATAGGCCATTTTTGTACTTTGTGCTTACATTAACTTTATATTAAAATTTCTTCTTTCTGGATCGTAATGTCTCTGCATTTGGACCAATGGTTCTCAACTGAGATCACTTTTTGTTCCACAGAGGACATTTGGCAAAGTCTGGATATATTTGGGGTTGTCAGGATTGCAAGGCAGATGTTACTAGTATCTAGTGAGTAGAGGCGGGAGGTGCGGTTAAATATCCTGCAGCCGGAAGGCAGATTCCCACAGCAAAGATTCTCACACTTTAAATATCAACAGTGCCTGATCTATGCCATCCCTGAGGGCATGGACTGAATCCTGTTTAGCTTTATACCCTTCATGTCTAGCACAGAGTATGAGTTCAATAAATAGGCATTGAACAGAAAACAAAGCAGGAAGAGGAGCTGATTTATGGGGAAAAAGAGGGTGTTCATCTGGAGCCATTTAGTTGTCCAGGGATATTGTCACAGGGACTGGAAGTCAGAAGAGAATTTGAAGCAGGACATTCATCTTTGAAATTTTACTGAGGGGCCTCCCTGGTGGCACAAGGGGTTAAGACGCAGCACTGTGAATCTATCCACAGCCACTGCAGCACGAGTTCAATCCCCAGTCAGGGAGGTGACACACATGGCGCAGCAGACCTCTCCTGTCTTGCCCGCTGCTCTCCTCAGCAGCAGATTTCAAGTACATCTGCCTGTTCTTCTCCCCACTCTGTCTCTGGTGAATCCTCTCACCCCTACACCTCTGGCCTGTACCCCAGTTCTTGTATGCATAAATAAATAAATCTTAAAAAAAATTTTACTGAGTACTTTGTGTGAGGCTTTGGGCTTGGATGTATAAAAATATAACTCATTTTTACATGTTGGTCTTCTAACTTGCAACTTTGCTGAATTAACTGTAATAGGCTTTTGTGGATTCTTTAGGTTTTTCTACACATAATATCTTGTCTTTTGTGGGCATGTCATTTCTTCCTCGCCAATTTGGATGCCTTTTATTTCTTCTTCTTACCTGCTGTGGCTATAACCATGATAAACAGAAGAAGCAAAAATGGACATCCTTGTCCTATTCCTAATCTTAGGGAGAAAATTTTCAGTCACCACTGGACATGATTTAGCTATAGGTTTACTAAATATAACCATGATTATGTTGAGAAAATGTAACATGGTGATCCCCAGGAAAAGGGGGAGGTTCCAGGTTCCCTGCCCCACCCAAAAGAAGGGTGGAGCTGAGCAGGGAGAAGAAGCTGGAGGGGAGACTGGGGAAGGAAGATGGATAGTGAGACAGAAGGAACCCTGGAGGAGGCCCGTGGAGCAGAGAGACATGTGAAGAAACTACACTTGCTTCTTGGTCTTGGACTGGCTGAAACAGATGTGGGTGAGAGACCCAGACCCATGGAGAGGTTAACATGGCAGCTTTGAAGCTGTCCACAGCCTCTCCTGTTTCACCCGCTGCTCCCCTCAGCAGTATCTTCAGTCCGTCTGCCTTTTCTGTTCCCTGCTCTGTCTCTGGTGAATCCTCTCACCCTCCCACGCCTCTGGCCTATACCCCGGTTCTTGTATAAATAAATAAATCTTTAAAAAATAATAAATTTCCTTTCCATTAAAGGTCTTAAATGTCTTGTGTTGATGCAGCGGATGGCAGAACCCATTTAGAGCAGGCAGGTTTGGGGGTTCTGGAGTGTCCCCTCCCTGTCCTGTAACAAAAATTCCCTTCTAATCTTAATTAATTGAGCATTTTATCTTGAAAATTCTGGGTTTTTTTACCTGTAAGCATACATTTTTTTAAAGGTTTAAAAGCAACATCAAGACATCTCTAATATCTTCCCCCATAAGATATAAAATAAAATTTTTCAAACATGCAAGAAAGAAAAAAGAAAGCCATTACAGTCAACCTTCCTTCCCACAGTTATCAATGGAAATAATGGCTAGCGTTTAGCTATGAAGTTTCTAAAGAAAGACAGTGAGCATTTCCAGATTTTGTCAAGGTGTCAATCATGGGAGGAGGAGGGGTGGATCTGGTTGTAGTGATGAGTCATAGGGCAAGCGGATAGCTTCTAGGTCAGAATAAAATAGGATCAGTCTCAGAGGAATAAGGAGGCTCCAAAGATAAGGGCAACAAATTCCACAGGGGACTAATCAAACTCCCCCGGACTAGGGGCAACAGGACATTCCAGAAAAAGGATAATAAAGAAAAAGTCTCTAATATTTTTCTTTTTCTTTCTGGCTTATTTCACTGAGCATGATCCCTTCCAGCTCCATCCATGTTGCTGCAAACTGCATGAGTTTATCTTTTTTGATTGCTGAGTAATATTCCATTGCGTATATATACCACATCTTCTTGATCCAGTCATCTATTTTTGGGCATTTGGGTTGTTTCCAAAGCTTAGGTATTGTAAACAGTGCTGCTATAAACATAGGGGTGCAAGTGCCTTTTTGAATTCATAGCAGGAATTTAGAAAACCTAAATAAGGGATCAGGAAAAAGACTAATTATAGTAAAGCAAAAAATCAAAATCAACAAGCAACTATAAACCAGAGACACACTCTGGGGGGTGGCAGCGGGGAGGATAGGAGGGTTTAGGGTCAAAATAAGGGGGGCGGAATTGCATGGGGAATATAACCAAAATGAAAATGCATACATTGTGCGAAGATGAAAAATGATGTCAGAATTATATAAAATAAAATACATTAAAAAAAGATAAATTAAAAAAAAAGGACTCTAAGATAAAGGCTGGGACACAGAGACTTAATTCTGGGCACACAGACATTAAGACAGAGTGAGTGAGACCACTGAGGACTGACTAATCACAAAGAG